CTTCTGGGGTGTGCAGCTTTTAAATCATTGAAAAGGCTTCAGGGTCAAGGTTTTTATTGACTAAACCAAACCCATTGCCATCAAGTCAATTTTGACTCATCGTGACCCTGTAGGATAGAGTAGAACTGCCCCATAGGGTTTCTAAGGTTGTAAATGTTTATGGAAGCACACTGCCTCATCTTTCTCCCACAGAGCAGCTGGTAGGTTTGAACCGCATATCTTTTGGTTAGCAGCTAAATGCTTTGACCACAGCATGACCAGAGCACCTTCTTGCCCTGTATATAGTGAGGCTGAGTAAGAGCTGTACGTACTTGTTCTGACTTACCTACAAATTTGACTTAAAAACACCTAGGAATGGATCTTGTTTGTAACCCCAGGGACTGACTGTATAAATATTAGTGCTTGCTACATGAGACAATAAGGGAAATGTGTAACGATGCAGGCAGTGAAGAGGTTAAGTACAGGAGAATTTCCCCATAACAGTTAAGAGCACAGGCCCTGGTACTATCCTCCCTGTCTTGGAATCTTGGCCAAGTAATTTAGGGTAGTTGTGAGGATTAGATGAATTGTTGTTAGGTGCCATCTGATTGGTTCAAAGTCACACAGACCCTCCGTACAGCAGAAGGAAACACTGCCCCATCCTTCGCCATCCTCAGTCATCCCTGTGCTTGAGCCTCTCGTTCAGCCACTGGGTCAGTCCATCTTGTTGGAGGTCTTCCCCCTTTTTGCTGACCCTCTACCAAGCATTTACTTGCATGTGATATCACATGCAAGTAAGATCTTGGTGTAAAGGTAATTGAAAGACAGTTGCAGCAGCATATTGACAGAGAATTACCAGAAATGCAAGCTGGATTCAGAAGAGGATGTGGAACTAGGGATATCACTGCTACTGTCAGATGGATCTTGGCTGAAAGCAAATAATACTAGAAAGGTGTTTACTTGTGTTCTATTGACTATGCAAAGGCATTCAGTTCTGTTGATCATAACACATTATGGATAACATTGAGAAGAATGGGAATTCCAGAACACTTAATTGTGCTCATGAGGAACCCATACATAGACCAGCAGGGTGTCATTCAAACAGGACGAGCGGATGGCATGGTTTAAAATCAGGAAGGGTGTGTGTCAGGGTTGTATCCTTTCACCATACTTAGTCAATCTGTATGCTGAGCAAATAAGCCAAGAAGCTGGACTATATGAAGGAGAACGTGGCATCAGGATTGAAGAAGACTCATTAACAACTTGCGATATGCAGACTACACAGCGTTGCTTGCTGAGAGGATGACTCGAAGCATTTACTGATGAAGATTGAGGACTGCAGTCTGCATTATGGATTACATCTCAACATAAAACGATCCTCACAACTGCACCAATAAGCAGCGTCACAATAAATGGAGGAAAGATTGAAGTTGTCAAAGATTTCATATTACTTGGTTACACAATCAACACCAACGGAAGCAGCAGTCAAGACATAGACGACATATTGCATTGGGCAAATCTGCTGCAAAAGAGCTCTTTAAAGTGCCGAAGAGCAAAGATGTCTCTTTGAAGACTAAGGTGTGCCTAACCCACGCCATGGTATTTTGAATTGCCTCATATATGCCTGTGAGAGCTGGACGATGAATAAGGAAGACCGAAGAAGAGTTGATGCTTTTGAGTTGTGGTGTTGGAGAACACCACCAAAAGTACCATGGACTGCAAATCTGTTCTAGAAGTGCAGCTGGAATGCTCCTTGGAAGCGAGAATGGCCAGACTGTCTCACCTACGTTGGTCATGTTGTCAGAAGGGACCATTCCCTGGAGAAGGGTATCATGCTTGGTAAAGTGGAGGGTCAGCCAAAAAGGGGAAGGCCCTCAATGAGATGGATTGACACAGTGGCTGCAACAGTGGGCTCAGGTACAGCCAGGATTGTGAGGCTGGCACAGGACTGGGCAGTGTTCCATTCTGTCGTATCCAGGGTTGCTATGAGTCAGAGCCGACTTGACAGCACCTAACGGCACAGCTACCAGGCATGATACCCCTCTCCAGGTACTGCTCCCTTCTGACAACATGACTAAGTGTGAGAGGTACAGTCTGGCCATTCTGGCTTCTAGGGAGCATTCCGGCTATAGTTTTCATTCTTCTAGCAGTCCTTGGTACATTCAGTATTATTCACCAATACCACGATTCAAATGCATCAGTTCTTGGTCTTCCTTATTAATTCTCCAGCTAGCACATGTATGAGGTGACTGAAAATACCTTGGTTTGGAGCAGGCGCACCTTAGTCTTCAAAGTGACATCTTTGCTCTTTACGTAAATGAGGGTAGTGCATAGAAAGTGCTGAGAACTGACTGACCGAATGATGAGCCGTAAACACTGAAAAGGCACATTCACAGGGAGCTAGAGTTCCCTATCTGGGTGTTTCCTTAGAGCAGTGGTTCTCAGCCCAAGAGGCTGTTGCCAAGTGATGTGTGGTAATATCTGGAAACTTTGGTGGCAGGATGCTCCTGGCAGCTAGTGGATAGAGGCCAGGGATGCTACTAGGTCCTAGAGTTTACAGGGCAGCCCCTCATCAGACGTCTCTGGCCCAAAATGCTGTACAGGCTGAGGTCGAGAAACTGGTCCTGGGGACATGGGGTGCTGACTTTTTTATTCCATACTTTAATTTGTAAAACTTCCATAATTTAAGATGAAGTTTTCATTACAGCTTTATGTAGTAGAGAAGGGTATAATTTCCAATGTATCGTGAATACTGGTACTTAAAAACAATGCTATTTTACCATTTAGTGTATCTAGTAGAATGTAATACCATAAGGATTTGATGTCAACTCTGATCCATTTAAACAGAATTACTCAGGGTTACATCTTTCCTTTTTGTCTCTGAAACTTGTTACATTTCCCCCACAGAATTGTAATAAATTTTATGGTTGAAAGTCTTATTGTGGGGGCACAGTATGAAAAATGTCATCAATGTCCCTGAGTTCTAAGTGTGGAAATTGTTAGGTTGGTGAATGTCTTGTTGTGTATGTTTTCACCACAATAAAAGTTTAAAAAAAAAAAAAAGTCTCAGTGATTGGTCTTTCATTCTCTGAATATAAATTGAAATTAAGTGTTCCTGGTTTTTTTGGTCTGGATTGAGTTATTCAGGTTACTATTAGTATACAGTTGAGATACAAACCAAATTGGGTATACGTTGGTAAGTAAACGTGCACACTTCTAGTGGAAGTGCACTACTTAATGATTGGGGTGGAGGGTCATTAAAGTAGGCAGCACTGACCCAGTATTTAGTCTTGTTTGGCTTCCCAAAGGTTTTTAGACATAGGGGGTGGATGGGAGAGACATGTTGTGAAGTGTGCGAAGGGAAGGTGGGGAAAGGGAACGGGCTTCATGCATTGACTGCGGATGAGCACGCAGACATGTCACTTCTAGGATGGTGCTTATGTGGGACAATCTAGAAGGCAGTTCTTTTTTCCCCCAGCAACACAGCACCCACCACAAGGGGCACTGCAGACACTATTACGTACACAGCACACAGTTGGGTGGGGTTTGGGAAGAGCAGAGACTTAGGGGAAGCCTTACCCTTTGCCCCTGCCCCAAGGAGGGGGCTTTCCCTAAGACAGACTTTCCTCTACACTTCCCTGTCCAAGATTGAAGCCCTGACTGGATTCCCACTCAACAGGGTCTGGATGGCTGGGACAGGGCAGCCATTGAGAGCCTCAGGAGAAGAGCTGAAGGAAGGGAAGGCAGGCCTGGGACAGGGTGGGGCGGGCCACCTCCATCTTGGCACAGGGTGGGAGGAGTAGGTGGTCCCTCGCAGACTCCCAGAGGGACTGCCGAACGGAAACAGCCTGGGCCTTGTCTCCTATCCCAGAGCCCTCTCTAGTAGGTTGAGTGTTAGAAGCAGGAGGGCTCGGGGTAGCCTTGGCTCCGGAGGAGACCACCAAGAGCAGAATGGTGCTGCCCGCCACAGTAATGAAACACTGCCGTACTGGTAGGTGCTGCCCCAAGGGTCCTGGAATCTCACAGCTGGCCTCTTCCACTTGCCTCATTAGAAAGCCATTCTTGAACATTCCGTGCCACATGCTCTCTGGGCACCCTTGAAGATGGAAGATTGCTACTCAAGAAGTACAGTATGCTGAAATACACACAAGGATGTGCTCACCTTAGCATCATTATAGCAGACAGACATGAATATCCATAAAGAATATGGGGTAACTAAGATGAGTATGGTCTTGGTGAAATACTAGGTAGCAGTTAAGGAAGCTGCAGAACAACTTGCATTTTAGAACAAAGTACTGTGTTCATGAATACACACACATGCATGAAAGGGAAAAACAACATACCCTTCAATCCATCATGGTGGGGAGAGGTATGGGGCAAGGGGCATGTGTGTGTAGAATGAATGTAAAACAAGACCTGGCTTTTTTTTTTTTTTTTTAAAGTGATTATTGTTGATTCTAGATGATAAGTATACAAGTGGTACTCCCTCAGCTCCCAAAAGTATGTGCAAAACAAAATGTGTATTTGGGAAAATTTGATGAGTGAGAGGAAGGAAAGTTAATCAAAGGCCAACTTCAGGGAGAAGCCACACTCCAGTTCTTCCACAAATGATATAAAATCCACTTCTGCCATTAGAACATGTGGTATTTAATATATTTGTGTCAACACTTGTGAGTTCTCATGGGGTTCCTTCCTATCCAGAGCCATGGCTGGGATCCCTGGGGGAAGGTTAAGGAATGGGTCCAAAATGCCAGCCTTTTTGGCTTTGAGAAGTATTCTAGATTTCCTTGAAGCTAAAGTTGGTCAAAGTTCTTTAACCTGAAATTTTCCTTTAGAAATGCCAGTATTACCCAAATGGTTCATGATTTTTATTCAAGCAACAGTATATTTAGGTGCTGAAAAAGATCACTAACGATTGATTTCAGAATTAAGTACCTATTTCATCTCTTACATGGACCTAGTCAGTCTATGAAGACGGCCTGACCGTGGACGCTGGTTCTGGACTGTGGCGGTCCAGTGCATCTTGCAATGGCACTTTCCTCTCACTGTCACTTGATCAGAAAAATACCCGTCCCAGTTCGAACAGGACCTTAAGGAATGAAAAGTGAGAAGGATCAATTTCACGGCAAACAAATGACTGCTACAATAAAATGACTCTTCCGAGACACTAATTGGCAAATGCTCCTAAAATAAGTAGCTGTTTGCCCTTCCCCACCGGCAGGCCGTGGGTCGGAGAGACTCGGTGCTGGGCTACACCCTACATAAGTGCAGCTAGTCTTTCCCAGGTGCTACCTCTCGAGATGTGGAACCGCTCCCAAAGTTACACTGACTGTGCACTGGTGAGACATACATAGTTCTTCAAATAACCGCACTTCAAAGAGCCTGTCTGGTAATTAGAACCACGCTTGTTGGTGCTGCTAACAGTTACTTCTCCCAGATTGGTCACTCTCAGAGCATCTACGTGTAGGGGAGGGCCCTGGGGAAGCCCCGCCCCCCGGCACCTCTATGGTGATGAGGACGACGATCATCCACTCCAGGCGCAGGGCCCTCTTCTCAGTCAGGTGGTTCCGCATGAGATCCGTCAGTTCCGTGCAGTGCTGAAGCTTTTCATTCATGACCTGTGTGAGGAAAGGCGGAGGCGGCCTCCTGGTTGTGTATTTTAAATTTGTTACAAGATACGGTCACATACTGCAGAATTCTAAGTTTAGGTAGGTAGACAGTGAAAATCATGTTACTTCCGCCCCCCCCCGCCTCTCCCCAACTTCTTGTGGCTCCACCCACCGATACACAACGCCACACAGGAGTAACTATGAGAACTACCCTACGTTCAGAGCTCTTGTGAGATTCTGACTAAAGCTCTAAAGAAAGAGGCCGAGTTCTGGTTTTTTGGTAGCCGATCTTGGATTTTTGGCAGTTAACGCACTTGAAACCTGATTCTTACTGCGCACTTGAAGTCACAATTGACTCAGTGGCAACTGGTTGGTTAGAAAGATGACAGAAACGATCGCCTTTTACTACGAACAAGTACGGCTAATGCGTCAAAAACCCCGACACTAACAACCGTGCCCTGGCGCACACTCTCCACTAGATGGCGCTGCTTTAAATGCTAAACTGCAAAGACTGTTAAACCTCACAAGCTGGGTGAAGGGGTTCAGAGGAAACAGCATCTTTTAATTTAAAACTTAAATAACACTACTAACAAGTTATATCTCCTTAATCTCTCCCTATTTCACCTTCCTCTGGAAACTGGAGTCCGGAAACAATTTCAAAAACATAGTTTGATTCCCTGATTACATCTGGGTGTACTTAAAGGTTCAGGTTTGGTTGGTAAAGATGACAGACAGGCCACTGGCGGCAGCGTAGCAGATGCACATGCAGGGAAAGACGCAGTGTGTGGGTGCAGCGCGCTCACCGTGATTCTGCAGAACGGTAAACTGCCTTTCTCATGAGGGTAAGACCGTGGGCCACACAGATAACACATCACCCTCCAAGCCCCTATGATCGCAGATGCCGTGCCACTCTAGAAGCTGACGTGTGAATGTTAAGAACACTGCCTCTTTGCTTCCTCCATTTTCCTCTGCCCTCCCCACTCCTTCCCTTTTTCTATTCCCACTGGCTCCCTGACCTTGTCAATAAACTTACTAAACCTTTAAGCTTGCTTCTTTCCAAGCTACTGACCCAACCCTCCTGCATTTACCTTCAACCCTGACTAAAGGATGGATAATGCGCATATATTACTTAACTCCCCTGAAACTTCCAAAGCCTCCTAATTGTGAAACCTAACATCCTGGTTCTAACCTCAGTTTACCCAAGCGTTTGACAACACCTCGAAGGCACAGTCCTTTGGCTTTTCCTCCTCTAAGACTGAAGAGTTCCACCTGTGACCACCACACCCTTCCCCTCCCCTGGCCGTTAGGTGGCATCTCCGGAAGCCAGGCCTCATGGCTCTTCTCCGGCTCTGCACCCCTTGCATGATTCCATCCCACGTCTGCGTCTCGTTTCCGAGGTGCTTCCTACACCTCAGTCATCGGCATCCCACCACTGTCGTTTCCGTAATGTAAGGGCACCAGTCATAGTGCTTAATTTCCCACAGACTTGACTTCTTGTTGTTGTTGTTGTTATGTGCCGTCGAGTCAAACCTGACTCATAGCGACCCCTCCTTGGGTTTCCGAGGCAGTATCACTACGGAAGTAGGATTGCCCAACCTTCCTTCCGAGGAGTGGCTGGTGGGTTTGAACCGCCAGCCGTCTGGTTAGCAGGCAAGTGTCTTAGCCACTATGCTACCAGAGCTTAGAAATGTTTATTTTACAAGAAAACTCACTGCCACATAAAGAGAAGCAGTGTGTGTTGCCTGCACGAAGCCGGGCACCATCAGGCTGGGCAACGCCCACAGACTCCTCCTAGGTGGTCATCAAGGACAGAAATGTCACCTGCCCAATGCTTCAGCATTGTTTGGTTCCAGGTTCACCTATCACCTGAATTGGCCTGCACTTCCTGTGTACTAGCCCACACTTTGGGAGCTCTGGTGGTGTAGTGTCTAAGGCACTTGACTGTTAACCAGAAGGCTGGCGGTTCAGACCCACCAGCCACTCCTCGGAAGGAAGACTGGGCAATCTACTTCCGTAGTGATACTGCCTCAGAAACCCAAGGAGGGGTCGCTATGAGTGAGACACTACTCGATGGCACGTAACAACCACAACAGCCTACACTTTGGGAAAGACTTTCACTGAGTTAACAACTCAGTTTTGACATCACAACCCCAGTGCCAAGCCTGAACCTTCCTCTGACTGATTTCTCACTGCTTAGGAAACGTTGGGTTTCCTACCAGCCCCTTGGATTCAGCTTTCCTTAAATGAAGCTGGCACCTTGTTAGCGCCTGTCCCTCTCCTAAGTCACCAGGGAAGGGGCACATGGTCTCCACTCGGCACCCCAGCCCCTCAGCAGTTCCTCAGCCAGAAGGGGTCTTGACCTGGTACCCGCTTACCACTTATTCCTGCCTGCTTGCTTCCATCCTGCCTGGGAATTTCAGTTGCCCCCCAAAAAACAAACCAGCTGAGGTTTGTCCAGGATGCTCCCCCACTGCCTTCTCCACAAAGGAAGCCATCTCGAGTGCAGCCACTCCCAGTGCTGGCCCCGCAACCCCGAGGCTCAGCCTGTGTCACTCCCCCGCCACCTCCTGCTTTTGCTCAGTGCTCTCACAGCATCTGTTGTCCCTACTTTAGTGCTTACTTCATTCTGCCTTGTTGACGTCATGTCTGTCTGCTCAGCACCCTTTCCTCCTGCCCCCCTTCTTTTTAGGGAACTCCTTTCCCACTGTTTACAACCCCATGATACTGCCCATCATGGTACCAACACCTACCTGACATCCCTCTGCCCTGCCCTACCTCAGAAGCCTAGCGTGTCAATGGGGCGGGGCAAAACCCAGGTGTGGCCACAACTGAATGTGTCTTCCCAGAAGGTGCTGACATCCTGACCTTGCACCTGTAAATATGACCCCATCTGGAAACGGGGTTTTCTTTTGTTGGTTATGAGGTCTTAAGTGTAGTCTAGGGTCCTAAACCTAATCACCTCTTAGTTACAGACACACAGAGAGAGCAACTACAGACACTGTGTGAGGACCTGTCTACTAGCAAAGGAGGCGGAGAATCTTCAACCAACACCAGAAATTAGTAGAGTCCACAGAAAGAACTGACATGGCTGGTGACTCTGATTTGGACTTCTGGTCTCCAGAACCGTGAGGCGACAGATTTCTCTTCTTTAAAGCCACCTGCTGGTGCTATATCTCTGAGTTCAGCACTAGCAAACAGACACCAACCACAATGGCTAGTTCTCTTAGCACAAGACTGACCAAAGCTTGGGAACAGGCCCCAAGTCATGTTAATTAGAGTCACATCTTAAAGTAAAGGGAGGCCTTTCTCTCTCACTGCCGTCGGCTCAGGTCCGACTCCTAATGACCGCTCCTTGGGTTTCCGAAGCAGCATCGCTATGGAAGTAGATCACCCCACCTTCCTTCCGGGGAGTGGCCTTCTGGTCAGCAGTCAAAGGCCTTAGGCACTATGCCACCAGAGCTCCCAAAGGGAGGTAGGAAACGCCTTTCATGCACTGAAGTTTCCAGGGTGAGCTGAAAGCCTGGGGTTCTCCTCGTCCCCATCCCTGTTCTCCCTGCTTCGTGAGAAGACCACTGAGATGGAAAGGAAGAGGCGAGAAGATGCTGAAGAGAGACCCCGTCCCGTGACTGTCTGGGTGTGTGAGTCACATTCCCCGAGCACTTCCCACCTGCTCTCCTCAGTCAAGTGCCGGCCAGCAGGTCCTGACTAGTGCAGGCTTCACAGTCCCTGAGCTATGGCTTCATGAAAGGTGTGACAGGCACATGGAGGAAGCAGGAAAGGCAGCCAGTGTCACCAAGCTGGGAAACGTGAATTAGGCTTTAAATAGGCTGCTGCCAGGAAGAAAAGCTGAGGGGGAGTGTGGGAGTGCAGAGGAGAGAGCATTTGGAGCAGAGGAAACGGCATGGCGGCAGGTACAGCTGGAGCGTGGGAAACAGGAAATGAGGTTAAAAAGGTAAGCTGGTACCAGCTTGAGAGAGGCACTGCACTGTGTGTGGTGGGCGGAAAGTGCTTGTGTCCCAATTAGGAGCTCTGGTGGCACAGTGCCTAAGGCATCTGACTGCTAACCAGAAGGCTGGCGGTTCAAACCCACCAGCCACTCCTCGGAAGGAAGGTTGGGCAATCTACTTCCGTAGTGATACCGTCTTGGCAACCCAAGGAGGGGTCGCTGTGAGTCGGATCCGACTCCTCGGCAAAGGTTGCATTGCGTTGTCCCAGTCCCTGGAACCTGTGAACACGCTGTTGGGTTACATGGCAAAGGGGAATTAAGACTGAATATGAAATTAATGTGTTAATCAACCTTAAGTAGGGAGCTAATCCTAGATTCCTTGGGTGGGTCCTTAAAAGTGGAGGAGGGCAGAGTGATGCAATGTGAGGTCACCTCCACCCACTTTGGTAGATGGAAGGGGCCACGAGCCCAGAAACGTGGGCTGCTCTGGAGGCTGGAAAAGGCAGGGAAAGAGGCCCTACCTCGAGACTTCAAAAAGGAACACAGCCTGCTGGCACCCTGACCTCAGCTCATGTCAGCCTTCTGACCTAACCCCCAAAACCAAACCCATTGACACTGAGTTGATTCCAATTCATAGCAACCCCCACTGGGTTTCTGAGGCGGTAAATCTTTACAGAAGTAGATTGCCTGTCTTCCTTCCATGGAGTGGCTGGTGGGTTTGAACCTCCAACCTTCTGGCTAGCAGTCAGATGCCTTAGGCACTGGATCACAAGAGCTGCTCTTTCTGACGTACAGATTGTAGTAATATTTATTACAGCAATAAGAAACTCATACACCATGCTTAATTTTATTCTCAGGTCTGGTTAGCAGTCAAATGCCTTAGGCACTATGCCACCAGAGCTCCCTATTCTCGGGTAATAGGGACTATTTCACTCCGAATTCAAACCTTTACTATTTACTGTGCTGGGCAGAGGAAAACGAATGATGACCAAGACAAACATGTCTCTCTCTTCTGGCCAAAGGGTACAGGAGGAATTAGAAACGGGGTCAGTGGAGCAGCTGGAGATGGTGAAGGTGTGCGAAAAGCCCAGGTGAAAGAAGGGGAGGCCTACTTTGGGAAGCCCGAAGGCAGGGGAAGGAAGACAGGGCAACATGGAGATTTATCACCTCAGAGACCCAGCGGGGTTGCGATGAGTCAGAATCGACTCACTGGCAGCGGGTCTGGTTAGTCTTGGTCTGAGGGGGGGGTTAGTGTGGCGTCCTCCCGTTTCCCTCACCATGCATACTTTCAATGAACAGTTGTCAAAGAGGGAGGGATACTCAGGAGAAAATGAAGACAGTGTGGGTGACTGGATATGAAGGGTGAAGCAGAAAGAGGAAGCCAAGATGACTTTCAAGTCTTCTGGTTGAGGGACTAGGTAGATGCGGCTTCACTAACTGAAACAGAGACTAAAGGAGGGTCAATATTTTATGGGAGAAAACAATGAGCTTCAGTCACTGACTGATTCTACCACGTGTGAGGTGTTTGCCAGGAACTGGGAGCAGAGCAGGGAAGAAATGACCACAGCTCCTGACCCCACAGAGCTTATGCTCCAATGGGACTGATGCAGGTCATTCTAAAGAGGATTCTCCCAGACAGGAAATCTGGAGGTTCTGTGAGATTTGGTAAGCAACTGGAAACATCTAGAAGGCTGTGGGGTAAAGGAGCTAGTTTTACTTGAAGTAATGTAGACTGTGTCTTTGGCTTCAGAGAAATAACCCTTGAAGTAATTGGGTGCCTTAGTCTGAGACTTCCTGGCCACACCTGGGAAGGTGTGCTAGTGAGCAGGAGCTAGGCAGCCCAGAAAAGACTCTCCTGGAAGGAGGATATCAACTAGCCTCAGGAAGTATGATTTAGTCTATCATGCAAGACTGTCGTAGTTATGTTTGCGTGTCAACTTGGCTGGGCCTGGTTGAGTGGCTGGGCAGCTGGTGGTAGTTGTTCCCCATGATTAGACTGGCAATTAGCTCCATGGTGGGCTCTACCACAAGCAGCTGAGTAGCTGCCTTTGGGACGTGGTCTGCTTCCTGTATATAAGGAGAAGCCTTGGGAATGGTCTCTGGCCTATGGCACGCTTGGACCCTGCATGTAGCTGTGTCATTGCTCAGCAGCCTGCTATGCTCTGCCGACCTTGGGACTTAAAATGGACTTAAGTTAATGGCCTGCCATGTGGTTTGGTAACATCGGGACTGTGCCTTTTTACTTGTCAATCTTGGGGCTTCTCAGCCACAGCAGCCAGCAGCTGTCTGAGTGAAGAAACGCCTCTAGCTCCAGTGGGCCGGGAGCAGGAGGCAGAGCTGGACCCCAAGGTTGAGGGGCTTTCACCCAGCCCCTAGAGCCTGGTACTTTGAATATGGACTGAAAGTCTCCAAACTGTCAGAATAAACTCCTGTTAGTTAAGGCCATCCCATTTGTGGTGTATTCCTGTCAGAACGGCACTAGGGAACCAGAACAAAGATAGACTGATAAAAACCCCGAACACGGAGGCTGAGAGCTTCCTGGTTAGCGAGAACATCTGCTCTTGGGAGGGTGCACTCCCTTGGGACATGAAAGCTCCTTGTTTGAAACCCTTCCAGACTTTGCTCTAAGCATCTCTCTTCATTTGAATCCTTTTTGGCGATAATGAATCTGCAGCCTTAAGTGCACTCTCTGCATTCTGCTAGCCATTCCAGCAAATCACCAAACCCAACGGGGCAGCAGCAGTTAGCAGTTCAGAAAGGAGGAGTGTGGTGTAGACTCCTGAGCTTATGGTTGGCATCCTGAGGGGGTACTGGGAAGCCAGCCCCAAATGGGTGGCTGCAGGTCAGAAGGTTGGGGTCTCATGTGGACCCCTCAAACTTGGGTCTGGCATCTGCTTATCTGGCAGTCCAAAGGATGATGTCCTCTTAATCTGTGACCTCTGACCTAGCTATGGGCATCTAAGGTTAATAGAGTCTGAAGGGGTGACCCGCAATGAGGACATTTGCTTTGCTTTGCTTTGCTTTGGCTTGACATTGGGAAGACAAAGTCAGTGGGACATAGAAGAGTTCCATGGAATTTGTCAGATGCCAAAGGAATTTAGACACTCAAAGATTTTACTTATTTTATGAGTTTTCAGAAACATAATTTGCAAATATAGAAAGTGAAATGTCGTCCAAATGCATGTGGCTGTCATGCTTAAGGCAAGCACTGATCTCTCCTAGGTTCCTATCCACATACCTGACCCTCCAGGCCCTTGTATCAGATCACTTCTTTTGTCTTTCTGGCACATTTCACCATATATTTGGGAGGAAAGCATTTTCTTTCTCTACTGTGTTTTAAGAAAGGAGAGGGGGTAATCTCAAGAGTGTAGCTCCAATTTCATATAACTCCCTCTTTTTCCCTAACATATTGCTACTTCTACTTTTAGCTATTCTGCCCCAGTTCCTAACACAGAATCCATTAAAGATGTGGAAGAAATAATTTAATTTGTAAAGATAATTTAAAGGAATCTTGAATTTCGGCTCCTGGGGAAAAATTAAAGAGGATTTTTAGGCACTGTTGGATATTCCTAAAGCTAAATTTAAGGTATGAAAGGTAAATCAGATTTAGTTTAAGAACTTAATAATTTAAGGTGATCGTCTTCATGGGATAAGCTGCAAGTGAATTTCTCAAGAAAACTACTATTTTCTTAATTGAAAAAAATAATTCTGAAACATTTTTAGAGCATCTTAAAGTTTTGGGGTGGTACCTCATGACCAGAAGCCCTAAAAGAATAGCTGAAAATTTTCTAGAAAAAGAAAGTAATTAGAAAAATCTTAGAACACACGAGGAAGGAAAAAAAGAACAAAAGGAAGAATAAAAACCTAGGCAGACACAAAAGATTTTCCTTCTTTTGTGATTTGATTTCTAAGTTGAAGCAATTATAATTATGGCGCTGCCTGATGCAGTTCTCAGTGTTTGCAGAGGAAATATTTTAAGCAATGAAACTGTAAATGGGGGAAATGGGAAGGGAAGGCAGGTTTCTGTACTTCACTTAATCTTGTAAAATGTCAAAACCAGTAGACTGGTCAGTAACCATCACGAAATCACCCTAAATGATGATTTAGGAGATGCACTCACAGACAATCCAGAGAAATCAAAGGAGAAGTCTACAAAATGTTCAAGCAACCCGCTGGAGGGCGGACACTGATACACACAACTTGGATGCGTCTCAAGGGCATTACGCTGGGGGGGAGGGCAGAAAAGCCAGTCTCAAAAGTCACACGCTGTATGATTCTATTTATAAAACATCCTCAAAGTGACAAAACTGTAGAGATGGTGAACAGATCATTCACTGCCAGGCACTGGGAATGGCAGGGGAAGAGAGGTTCAGCATCACTATAAAGGGGTCACATGCGGGAGAGCTTTGTGGTTTTGTATCTTGCTTATATGGTTACACAAATCTATGCCTCTTTCCTAATGTGGTCTACTGGTCTACCTCCATCATTACACCCTCCATATTTCCTGAAACAGATGTCTTCTCAACTTTGCTTCCCCACTTCCAAATTCCAAAGGCCTTCGGAATAGTTCCAGTGGGCAGTCTTGCTGCAACCCTAGTCTTGACATGTCTTACATTCAGCTCATTACCTTTGCCCTTTCTGACACTCTGTTGTGCCCCCTTTCCACCTGTCACCTACAGGCAAACACCTTTACTCTTCCCTCTCTGACCTCCTATTACCAATCACTTGCCTCATCTTAAATGATTCTTTTTAAAATGCATTTCTATTCTCATTCTTACCATCATGGTTCAGGACCCCGTAAACTCTTGCTTAAAACTTGACAAGAACTTTCTAACAGACCACTTGGTTTCCAAACCAGGGCTTTGAACTAATGCACTCATGGCTGACAACATGACATTGGAACAGACCTGAAGTTTAAAAATGTGGGTGATTCAGAACACCAAGCAGAACGGAAAACCAGCGAGTCAAAGCCCTAGGCTGGGAGCCTCAGAAGAGGCATGGTGAGCCCTGTCAGGAGCCTGATGTGTGACATGGGTCACTGGCAGGACTGTGGACAGCACTGCATATTCAAAGTGGTGCAGCCGACTGCCATCTTCGAGCCAGTTTCAACCCAGCTAGTAAAGAGATCTAGCTGCCATACGACGTGTGCGACACTGCCCTTGTTTTCTAAGAGGGACGTTCAGTTTCCAGCAGGGCTTTGTTAGCATCCCAGTTCACCCACATTTAAAAATTCGGGTCCATTCCAGTGTCAGAAACGGTTCGAAGCCCTGCTCCAAACTCTCACCAATCTTACCCAGTCTGACAAGCAAGTATCAGAGGAATCCTTGAAATAAAAATTTGAAAACTGTACAGGAGAAGGGGAAAGGCTCATCTAAAGAGATCTGATTAAACCAAACAAGCTACACATGTTTACTTCCATTCAAAACACTGATCTTCACAGTTACATGCACTATTGGCACCACGTGTCTCTCTCTCTCAGCAAAGGTGCAAACACATACCTTCACTCTACGGGCAATGCTGAGGAACTGACAGGTTTTATCGTAGAGCTCTTCCAGGTTCTCTCTGTCCCAGTAGAAATCAGGAGTGATCAGGAAGTCTGAACTCAAGTTTATACGATGTCTTCAAAAAAGGAAAAATGAAAACAATTTTATTTCCAGCTTGAGTCAAAAAATCAGTTTCTGTTGTATTTTATTTCTACATGGTGCGTTACAAAAACTTATTTTTAATGCTGACCTTTGTAATACTTCTGAGAAACATGCCAAGAAGAAAATTTACAAGAGAACCTCAAAATTCTCAATTAATTCAATCTATGATATCAATATCATCTATGAAGTAGACAGAAAAAAAGAAACCCCTCTCATTTTGTTCGCAGTATCTAAGCGTGTTTTTTTCGATAATCAATTTGATGATACACACGCATACATACACACACATGTTCTGAGGAGATAGCTAATACAATCACATGGCTTCAAAATGAAAAAGATACTAAAGAGGTAAAAATGGACAACCTTTGTTAAACTCCTGTCCTGGTCTCTCCCTTTCTCCCCTCCCTACAACCGCCATCACTAGTCTGTTCGGAATCCTTCCAGTGTTCCTTTATGCAAACACTGGTTGAGCAAATACACACTTAAACACACACTCTTATCGTCTACCTTTTTTACACAAGAAGTCTAGGCTGACTTTTAGAAAATTTAATTGAATAAAAATTTAAGTTACAAAAACAGCATACAAATAGCCTCACTATAAAAAGAAAATGCCGTAGAGAAGGATTCAGAACCACAGTGGTAGTCCTTACCCCATCGCCCAGCTCAAATCCCTCATCTCCCCAAGGGGCAGCCTGTGAACAGTTCGGTGTGTCCTTCCAGATACTTTCTTATGCATACATGCCTGTGTGCACACATGCACATGTATGTGTATATGAATTCATCTCAAGATAAACAGGAATTTTTTTGTTTATATAAGTGGGATCATACCACACATAATTTGTGACTTAATCTGGCAGGTAATACAACTTGTTCTGTTTCTATTCACAGCTTTACCACATTTCTTTTAATAACATGAAAGCACTTTTATTGTAAAGGTATGAAACTAAGGGTTAGAAAAGCAGACCTTGATAAAAACTAGACACCAACTGATGTCTATGTAGTCCTAACTTCCTGAGGTTTGAGAACTGTAAATTGCTACAACCTATTCTCGGAGTTCTGGTGGTACAGTGGTTAACACATTTAGCTGCTAGCCAGGTCAGCGGCTCAAATCCAGCAGCTGCTCCATTGGAGAAAGATGAAGCAGTCTGCTTCCATTAAGATTACAGCCTTGGAGACCCTGCGGGGGCAGTTCTCCTCTGTGCTATACAGTCACTAGGAGTCAGAGTCACCCATGGCAGTGGGTTGGCTTGGGTTTTTCTATCCTATTCTGCTGGCATCACTAAGGGACAGGAGAACACTTTCTCCACCCTACTTCTCAGAGAATTCCAGGGGTTAAGTTTCTGGGAAAAGAGGTATTCCTGAAGAATGGGCTGTTTATTTTGGTTTGTGCCCTGAATGAGGTCCCCTGAACTATGAGAAAAGCAGAGAGGCTGAAATGCTGGAGACGTCTCCTCTCCAGGGAAAGCATCTGAGGAGAATAGGGAAAAACTACTCTGAGGTAATGGCTGACTCTGGTAGTTGACTGCATGGTTTTCAAGAGATGAGACGCTGAACAGGCTCCCTCGTGAGACCAACACCAACACTCAGGACGTCTCATTCCATGCATCCTGGGTGGAGTACAAATACCCAGGAAACCTGTTCAGATACTTATCTTAAAAGACGCCTTACTGCATTTCCTCAAATCTAAGACACAGTTGTTGACGTTTTAGCCTCTCTGAAAATGAGAGGCATCTGAAAATCGAGGTGTCTCAGAGGTGGCAGCTTGATTAGGGTGGCTGTGGACTGAACTGTGTCCTCCAGACAGCTACCCTGAAGTCCTCACCCTACAGGGTGAGTGTGGCCTTGTGTGGGGGGAGGGCTTTCCTCGGCAGGCATCACTGGTGAAATTAAATGAGGTCGCGGCTGAGTGGGGTGGGTCCCGATCCTAATCACTTCTGAGTAGCTTCTTATAAAAGAGGGCAGACAGGGACACAGAGTCACACACGGAAGGAAGAGGGCATGTGAGATCCGTCTGCGAGCCAAAGAACTCTGAGAAGCACACCCCGGGCTACCGACACTGCCAGAGACGAGGAAAGATCTTCCCCAGAGCAGACCGAGGAACACCACAGGCCTGCTGGCACCTTGAGGCAAACCAAGAAAATGCAGTTCTGTTCTTTAAAGCCATGACTGCGGTATTTTGTTGTGGCAGCCCTAGGAGACCACGACAGTCATCATTGCCTGAGGCCATTGGTTTCCCTTGTGCTGTCCTTGTCACGTGGCCCGAATAGCAATGTGACAGAGTCCATGTCTAGATGAGACTAACAGAGTGATTTCAGAAGGTGTGGCATTGGAACTCTGTGGTCAAAAGCACCGCGGCACTGTTTAATTGGGAGCACTTCCCCTTTCCTGCTGTTTCTTACAGTCTCCCACACTCAGTGAAACATGTACATAACCTTCCTGGAGTCACTGGGGCCTATTTAGCATTCTGATGTAGAGAGAGATTTCTTCTGAGAATTCCCATTCTACAGGACTGGAACATAGCTTTCTAACATCAAAGATTACCTACTGTGCTGCCTGATGCAGGCTAATTATGACCTCTAATTAGTCCTACTGTAACTCAACCCTTCTCATAGAGTTCTGCTTGCTTAAAATCCATGATGGGGAAGTGGCTGCCGTTCCCATAAAGATGCAATGCCTCCTCTTCACTAGACAGCAAGAGGAGTTTTCTCTTGAGAATATGACATTTATGAAATACTGTATTTAGAGAAATTTTTACCTCAGAGCAAAGAGTTCACCCATTTTCTGCATAACTTCTTCATGAGATAGTTTCACTTTCTTCCCAGCTTTTAAAGCCTATTTAAAAATAAAACAAAACAAAAAAACAATTTTTTAAAACAATTTCTTTTTAAAGAAAATATATCCAATCCGTAATAGGATAGGAGCATAAAGCAAATTCTGCAGTGGCATAATTTTAATTCCACCTAAATACCATCTCCCGGATGACCATCTCCCCGCTGCCTGTCTTAACTTGCCCTAGGATTTCAAAACCTTATCAGGTATTTTATGTTCCTTTTTTATTTCCCTTCTCATCAGCATTTCCATGTTGTTGTTTAGTGCTGTCGAGTTGTCTCGACTCACAGTGACCTTATGTACAACAGAACGAAGCACTGCCCAGTCCTGTGACAACTCCACGACCAATGCCATCCCTGAGCCCATCATTGCAGCCAGTGTCAATCCACCTTGTTGAGGACTTTCCCCTCTTTTGTTGACCCTCCACCTTACCAAGCATGACATCCTTCTCCAGGGAATGGTCCCTTTCTGACAACATGGCCAAAGTAGGTGAGATGAAGTCTGGCCATTCTCGCTTCCAAGGAGCATTCCAGCTGCACTTTTTCCAGGACACACTTGTTAGTTCTTTTAGCAGTCCACGGTACCTTCAGAATTCTTTGCCAACACAACTGAAAAGCATCAACTCTTCTTCAGTCTTCCTTATTCATTGTCCAGCTCTCACATGCATATGAGGCAACTGAAAATACCATGGCTTGGGTTAGCCACACCTTAGTCTTCAAAGTGACATCCTTGCTCCTCATCACTTGAAAGAGGTCTTTTGCAGAATATATGCCCAAAGCAATACGTCGTCTGATGTCCTGACTGCTGCTTCCATTTGTGTTGATTGTGGAACCAAGTAATATGAAGTCCTTGACAACTTCAATCTTTTCTCCATTTATTATGATGCTGCTTATTGGTCCAGTTGTGAGGATTTTCGTTTTCTTTATATTGAGATTTACTCCATACTGCAGATTGAAGTCTTCAATCTTCATCAGTAAGTGTTTCAAGTCATCCTCACTTTCAGCAACCAAAGTGTCATCTGCCTATCATAGGTGGTTAATGAGTTTTCCTCCAGACCTGATGCCCCGTTCTTGGATTATTATTTCCATATGCATTCCTAATCGCTTATCAGAAAAGCAGGGACTCTTTTCTCAAATATAATTAGAATATTTTTTCACAGTAAAAACAAAATTAATTACAGTGATTATTTTTAATGTATTCTGAAATTTTAACATACTTTTGAATGCTTTTTTTATGCTACTATTTTTCTCACACTTTAGCCAAACATCTTTTAAAAGCAAGAAACATGGTCATAATCTCCTCACAGGAAACAGTTCACTTTTTTTCTTTTTATTTAGTTACATTAAAAATATTATACTATGAGAGAAAATAACTAGATTCTAAACAACTAGATTCAAACTTCTAAAAGTAAAAAAAAAAAAAAAAAACCTCAATATGAGTTTTCTCATTTTATTCATCTTTTTTTTAACTTTCTAGAATACCAAAGCACCCCCCACCAAAAAAAATCAAAAACCGAATCTGACTCATACTGACCCCCTTGCTTGGGTTTCTGAGGAGGTATTTCTACGGAAGTAGATTGCCCAATCTTCCTTCCGAGGAGTGCCTGGCGGGTTTGAACCACCAGCCTTCTGATTACCACTCAAATGCCCTAGGCACTATGCCACCAGAAGTCCCCTTTTTCTAGAACAAGAAATAGAATATTTTATAAGTAATAGAAGTTCTTTTTTGCTGAAATTTAGTGCAGCTTCCCTAGTGGTTATCATGATTTTGTTGTACGCCTAACTGCATTATTGTATGTACTGAAAACTTTGTATTTTTCCCCAAATAGAAATCAATCTTTCAAAACAGCATAAAATTGATATACGTACCTCTGGAATAGACTGAATAGATTCAATAAACTTATCCAGTGATGCTTCCCAAATAGCCAGTTTCACTGAGAGGAAACAAAACTGATAATGAAGTTTAATCTATGATCATATCCATGTTTATATACAAATGCCTTACCACACAGCACCTTTACTGCCATCTCAACAGTACTGGAAGAGGTAAACGTACTAAATATTTAAAGCTGAAATGTTAGAATACTTCTTATTATTATAAAGGACAGCACTAATGTGGAAAAAAGTACAGGGACATGAGTAGATTTCCAAGCCATGCTGCATCTATTCAGAGCTGTGTCGGGCAGGATTCCTGATATTCCAGTTTCACATCTCAGAAACCAGAATGTGGAAGGTCCACCTTGTGACTCTGGGCAGCTCCGCAGACCAGGCAAGAGAAGGCTTCTCAGGCTACCCGTCCACCCTTCAGGCTCTGGGTGAAGCTCCAGAATCGGAAGCCACCTAAGTGGTTTCGCCAGGTGGCCTCACCGGCACCTAACGGAGACAGGGGCGCCAGCAGCTCTGAATACGAGAACTGGAAATGCCTCAACTACTGTTGCACTCAGTCTCACGGTTCCTTCACAACAACTTGAAGCAACTGTGACTCTGTGTCATTCCTGCAAAAAACTAGTCTTGTTTTCCAACACAGCAGCCTGTGCCCAGTTTTATGGGCTTGCGAGCAGCAAGGCTGGAAGTTTGAGTCCACCTAGGGATCCTTCAGAAGAAAGGCTTGGCCATCTTTTCTGAAAATATCGCCCACTGAAAAGCCTGTGAAGTGCGGCCCCACTCTGGCACACATGGCGCAACCAAAGCCAGAGTCTGCTCAAGGGCAGTTGGTTCTTGGTACTGATTTAAGGCCAGGGCCCGAAGATGGTGGGCACACGGCTTGGGGCTGCTTGGCTTGGCCTTGGGGCCAGCTTTACTTTAAGGCCGGGCCCTGGAGAAGGCGAGTGTGTGGCTTGGGGCTACTTGGCCTGGCTTTGGGGCTGGGCTTTATTTTAAGGCCGGGCCCTGGAGAAGGCAAGCATGCGGCTTGGGGTTGCTTGGCCTGGCTTTGGGGCCAGCTGTATTTTAAGGCTGGGCCCCTGGAGAGGCTGGCACAGAATGGTTAGAAACTACTAAGGGAGGCAAACTTGTCTGTCAGTTTGATATCCTGTGGTGGTTTCCGTGTTGCTATGAGGCTGCAGATTATACCACTAGGGCTGCAAAATGCCAGCAGGGTTCCGCACGGTGGGCAGGTTTCAGCAGCGCTTCTAGGCTAAGAGACTCGGAAGAAAGAAGAGACCATCCACTTCTCAAAAAATTGGCCAGTGAAAACCTTATGAATAGCAGTGAAACACTGTCTGATATATTACTAGAAACTTTATGAACAGCCCTGAAACACTGTCTGATATTGTGCTGGAAGATGAGCCCATCAGGTTGGATGGCACTCAAAATGACTGGGGAAGAGCTGCCTCCTCAGAGTAGACACGACCTTAATGATATGGATGGAGTAAAGCTTTTGGGACCTCCACTGGCTGATGTGGCCTGACTCAAAATGGGAAGAAACAGCTGCAAACATGCATTAATAACTGGAACATGGAATGTATAAAGTATGAATCTAGGAAACTGGAAGTTGTCAAAAATGGAATGCATGAAGATCGATATCCTAGGCATTAGTGAGCTGAAATAGACTGGTTTTGGCCATTTTGAAGCCGACAACCATGTGATCTACTATGCCAGGAATGACAAACTGAAGAAGAATGGTGTGGCAATCAGCATCACAAAGACTGTTTCCAGATCTGTCCCAAAGTACAATGCTGTCAGTGATAGGATAACATCCATACACCTACAAGGAAGACCCATTAATATGACTATTATTCAAATTTATGCACCAACCACCAAAGCCAAAGATGAGGAAATTGAAGATTTCTACCAACTTCTGCAGTCTGAAATTGACCAAACATACAATCAAGGTGTGTTCATTATCACTGGTGACTGGAACGTAAAAGTTGGAAACAAAGAAGAGTACCAGTAGTTGGAAAATAAGGCCTTGGTGACAAAAATAATGCTAGAGATTGCATGACAGAATTTTTCAAGACCAAGAACTTATTCATTGCAAATACCTTTTTGTCAACAACATGAATAATGGCTATACACGTGGACTTCACCAGATGGAATACACAGGAATCAGATTAACTACATCTGTGGCAAGAGGGAATGGAGAAGTTGAGTATCTTTGGCCAAAACAAGGCCAGAAGCAGACTGTGGAACAGACCATCAACTGCTCATATGCAAGTTCAAGTTGAAGCTGAAGACAATTAAAACAAGTTCACAAAAGCCAAAATATAACCTTGATAATATCCCACCTGAATTTAGAGACCATCTAAATAACAGATTTGATGCACTGAAGACCAATGACCAAAAACCAGAGGAACTGTGGAATGACATCAAGAATATCATCTATGAAGAAATCAAGAGATCATTAAAAGCACAAGAAAGAAAGAAAAGACCAAAGTGGATGTCAGAAGAGACTCTGAAACTTGCCCTTGAGCAAAGAGTAGCTAAAGCAAATGGAAGAAATAACAAGATAAAAGAGCTGAACAGAAAAATTCAAAGAGCAGCTTGAGAAGACAAAGCCAATTATTATAATGAAATGTGCAAAGACCTGGAGTTAGAAAACCAAAAGGGAAGAACACGCTCAGCATTTCTCAAGCTGAAAGAACTAAAGAAAAAATTTAAGCCTCGAGTTGGATTACTGAAAGATTCTATGGGTAAAATATTGAATGATGCAAGAAACATCAAAAGAAGATGGAAGGAATACACAGAGTCATTGTACCAAAAGGAACTGGTTGATGTTCTTCCATTTCAGGAGGTGGCATATGATCAAGAACCAATGGTACTGAACAAAGAAGTTGAAGCTGCACTGAAGGAAATGGCAAAGAACAAGGCTCCAGGAATTGACGGAATACCCATGGAGATGTTTCAACAAATGGATGCCATGCTGGAGGCATTCACTTGGCTATGCCAGGAGATTTGGAAGACAGCTACCTGGCCAACTGACTGGAAGAGATCCATATTTGTACTCATTCCAAAGAAAGGTGAACCCACAGAATGAGGAAATTATCAAACAATATCATTAATATCACATGCAAGTAAAATCTTACTGAAGATAATTCAAAAACGGTTGCAGCAGCATATTGACAAAGAGCTTCCAGAAATGCAAGCTGGATTCAGAAGAGGACAAGGAACGAGGGATATCATTGCTGATGTCAGATGGATCTTGGCTCAAAGCAAAGAATACGAGAAAGATGTTTACTTATATTTTATTGACTATGCAAAAGCATTTGATTATGTGGATCATAACAAATTATGGATAACATTGAGAAGAATGGGAATTCCAGAACACTTGATTGTACTCATGAGGAACCTGTACATAGACCAGGAGGCTGCTGTTCAAACAGAACAAGGGGATACTGCATGGTTTAAAATCAAGAAGGGTTAATTCCTTTCACCACACTTATGCAATTTGTATACTGAGCAAATAATCTGAGAAGGCGGACTACATGAAGAAAACGTGGCCTCAGGATTGGTGGAAGACTCATGAACAACCTGCGATATGGTGATGACACAACTTTGCTGAAAGTGAGGACTTGAAGCACTTACTAATGAAGATTAAAGACTGCAGTCTGACAGGGAAGAGGTAACTATGTGGACGAAGTAGGAGGGGAGCTGTTGCATTGTGGGAAATTGTAGTCAATGTCATGAGACAAAGTGTATGTGAGGTGCTGTATGGAAAGTGAATTTGCTCTGTAAGTTTTCACCCACTTCACAATAAAAATTTTTTAAATAAATAAATAAATATTTATAGAAAGACTACAGTGTGCAGTATGGATTATACCTCAATATTACAAAAACAAAAATCCTCACAAATGGTCCAGTAAACAGCTTCATGATGGATGGAGAAAAGATTGAAGTTGTCAAGAATTTCATATTGCTTGGTTCTACAATCAACACCAATCAATGGAAGCAGCAGTCAAGACATCAAGACAATGTATTACATTGGACAAATCTGCTGCAAAAGACCCTTTCAAGTGATGAAGAGTAAAGATATCTCCCTGAAGACTAAGGTACGCCTAACCCAAGCCACTGTATTTTCATTCACCTCTTATGCACGTGGGAGCTGGACAATGAATAAGGAAGAGCGAAGAAGAGTTGATGCTTTTGAGTTGTGGTTTTGGAGAAGAATGCTAAGATTACCACGGACTGCTAAAAGGGCTAACAAATCTGTCCTGGAGGAAGTGCAGCTGGTATGCTCCCTGGAAGTGAGAATGGCCAGACTGTTGTCAGAAGGAACCATTCCTTGGAGAAGGATATCATGCTTGTAAAGTGTAGGGTCAATGAAAAAGGGGAAGGCCCTCAATGAGATGGGCTGACACAGTGGCCGCAACGATGGACTCAAGTATAGCAAGGATTGTGAGGCTGGGACAGGTCCAGGCAGTGCTTCGTTCTGCTGTGCAAAGGGTCGCTATGAGTTGTGTGGACTATGCATTCCATAGGCCCAGTAATCACAGAGATAAGGGAGGAGAGGAAAACAAAGTAATAATAACCCTAAGACTATGTTTGGACAGTAAACTCTATCAATACAGTTACTAAGGAATGAGTGACTTCAACACGGCTACTCTATTTTATATTACACATTCTATTTGTTCCTGTTGGAGGAAAATAAAGCAAACTGAATGCTAAGGTTTCACTGAGTAGCTTGTGAAAACATCCCGGGATGAAATGAAAACAGCGTAACTTACCTGAAAGGCAAAGGGCGTTTGAGAAGGCAAACTTCTCCAGGATGCTGTCATCTAAATCCAGCTCAGAATTTAACTTAATTTCCCCTCTGTGGAGTTTTGACTGCCCCCTGGAGAAGGGAAAACAAAAAGAAGCTTCTGAATTTTAAAAACCACTTCAATTTCTTCTGAGATCATTTTGGCAATTTGTACCAAGAGTCTTATAAACGTTCTCCTCCGTTTTGGTGCCCATAATGGCATTGCTAGGAATTTATCCTAAAAGAAATAATCAAAGACACAAGAAACATCTGTGTACAAAAGAACTTCGATGACCATATATTTAATAGTTAAAAAAAAAAAAAAAAAAACAGGAAAAAAACTAATATTCATCAGGTGAAAGGTTTACCCATAGTATGTCCTCATAACACAATTTTTAAAAGTGTGCTTTAGAAGGGTCTTTACTAGAAAGGAAAAATGTTCACATTAAAATGCTAAGTGAAAAATGCTGACAAAACACCAAAACCAAACTCATGCCATCAAGCCGATTCTGACTCACAGAGACTCCCACTGAGTTTCCAAGGCTATTAATCCTTACGGAAACAGACTGCCTCATCTTTCTTCCAAGGAGCAGCTGGTGGATTTGAACAGCTGACCTTCTGGTTAGCAGCCAAATGCCTTAACCACTACAGCACCATAATTGTACACAATGTAACCTAAAAATCACAATGACACAGTGGGGATGAGATGGGAGACTGGGACCCTGTCAAAAACTAAGGAGTCCATGAGGGGGACTTCAGAATGCACCGGGGACCAGGGGATGGGAGGAAATCTCTCAACAGAAAGGTCACATGTAAACGAGAAAAATACAGGGGAGCCTTCCCAAAAGGAAGACAGAGAGGAGGCCTGCTGGGGGTGCTGAGAGGCACAATCGTTCTGACAACTGAGCTGGAGGAAAAGAGCACACGGACAGTACAATTGACCAGATGCTCTGTGGGGTGGGCCCACACCACAGAATGCAGTGAGGCAGCCAGTCCCTGGAATCACAGGCAGGACCCCATCACAACTGCATCAGGCAAGGCAGCCGCCACGACTGTATTTCTGACAAGAAAGCAAACAGCTGACTCTGGGACTCTGGGTATTGAGGATGTTAGCTCTTCACAGATTGTAAGGTAGCGTTTGTGTGTATGTGGGTGGGTGGGTGGGTTGAGGGTGAGCACCTATTAAGCCATAGCTTCACCTGGAAGCAGAGCACAGAGGTGACTCATGGCAACTGTAAGCACACAGCCTACCATTAATAAGATGGATCAAATTCTATTCACTCCTCACTTGCTCTCTGTTTGGCTTACACCCTTGCTTTCTACTGCAACCAGCATGGACCCAGGCCCCTGCCTACTTTTCAGGTGTCTGTAGGCAAGATTCTGCTGAACCTAGTCTGAAAGCCAGTTGCTTGTAACTGTGTCACAGGGTTTTTGTGATGACTGATGAAATGACGTAGGGCAAGCACAGGAGCAGCACTGTGTGCATGGTGAGTACTTCATCAACACTGGCTACTGCTATGGGCTGGTCTCGATCCCCCAAACGATACACTGAAGTCCTAACCACTGCACCTGGGACTGTGACCTAACTTGGAAGTGGCATCTTTGTAGATGTAGTTAGTTAAATCAACATGAGATTATACTGGAATAGGGTGGGCCCCAAACTAATCTGACTGGTGTCTTTACAGCCAGAGGAGAACTGATGGCAGAGAGGACACAGCCGTGTGCAGACAGACGCACGGGCTGGAGCGATGCTGCCAACAGCAAGGAATGCTCTGCCACTGGGAGCTGGGAGAGACCACAAGGAGGTTCTCCCAGACCCTTCAGAGAGCACGGCCCTGCTGCCACTTTGACTTTGAACTTCCAGCCTCCAGACCTGTGAGAGAATGAATTTTCTCTTGTAAGCACCCAGGGTGTAGTGCTCTGTTACAGCAGCCCCAGGAAACCAGGAACAGCCAGGATTACTAGTTGTCACACCATCTGGTCATGCTATGGCCACAGTCTCTTCCAAATTTTCCAAAAGCTCTGCCTTATCACCTCCTTTTTTTTTTTTTTTTTTAATGTTCTATAGACTATTTTCTTCTTCTTTTTTTTAATTCTTATTGTGCTTTGGGTGAAAATTTACAGAGCAAATTCATCTTTCATACAGCAGCTCACATACACTTTGTCTCATGACATTGATTACAATTTCTCACAAAGCAACAGCTCCCCTCCCCCTTCCTCCCTGTAGTTACCTCTTCCCTGTGTCCTTCCCTTCCATGCACTCCTGCCCCCCGAGCTGTCTCCCTGTGAATACACAGCCCTCCTATTCTCCCATGACTGTTCTCTCCAAGGAGTGTATCTGTTGTTTTTGTTATGTGCTGTTGAGTCGGCCCTGACTCATAGCGACCCCTCCTTGGGTTTCTGAGGCAGTATCACTACAGAAATAGATTGTCCAACCTTCCATCTGAAGAGTGGCTGGTGGGTTTGAACTGCCAGCCTTCTGGTTAGAAGTCAAGTGCCTTAGGCATTATGCTACCAGAACTCCTAGGAGTATATCTAGCTAATGTAAATGTTCAGCTCACATGCCTGTCTTTTGTTTGGCTGGAAGCCACAGGACTGGGTTCAATTCCACACCTGGAGGGCAGCTAGGGGTCATAGTCTCAGGGCTTCCACCAGGCTCTATCATACCAGCAAACCTGGTCCCTTTTTTTTGGTTTGTTTAATGATTTTGATTTTTGTTCCACATTGTTCACCCACTCTATCCAGGATCTCCTACATAGATCCCTCTCTGAGTGGTTGGAAGTGTGAACCAGGCAGCATCTAGCTCTTCTGGTCAAGTAGTCACATAGGCTGAATTACCTCCTTTCTTAAGAACCTATTTTTGCCTCCTAATATTCCACAAGGCAGGTAGCTCCGTGAGGAAAGAGACCTTTCTGTCTAGTTCTGCTTTCTCCCGCTGCCCTCACATCTCTCTTCCTTTTTCCTCCCTTGCTGAGACAGGGTAAGGGAGAAGCAGGTAATCCACTGCCAATCCACACACCTTGCCTGAGACCAGTCCTCAAGGCTCGAACTTCTCACCTCAGACTGGTGCTAGAAGCTCGAACTTCCTGCAGCACCCCATTTCTACATGTGGTTCTCTTAGATCACCCCTGCCGTCTATTCCTTTTTTTTGTGTGTGTGTGTGATTTGGGTGAAAATTTACAGAGCAAATTCACTCTCCATACAGCAGTTCACATATACTTTGTCTCATGTCATTGACCACAGTTTACCACAATGCAACAGCTCCCCTCCCACTTCCTCCCCATAGTTACCTCTTCCCAGTGTCCATCCCTCCACACTCTCCTGCGCCCTGAGCTGTCTCCCTGTGCATAAGCAGCCCTTCTTTCTCCCATGATTGTTCTCTCCAAGGAGTGTATCTACTCGAGGTAAATGTTTAGCTCATATGCCTGTCTTCTGTTTGGCTGGAAACAACAGGTGTGGGTTCAATTCCAGACCTGAAGGGTAGCTAGGGGCCATAGTCTCAGTGGTTCCACCAGGCTCTATCGGACCAACAAACCTGGTCCCCACCTTTTTTTTTTTTTCTCTCCAAATGATTTTGAGTTTTGTCCACATTGTTCTCCCTCTCTATCAAGGATCTCCATAGATCCCCTTCCAAGTGGATGACAGTGGTAGCCGGGCACCATCTAGTTCTTCTGGTCTCATAGTCATATAGGCTGCAGATCGGATGGTGTACCAGTCACTAGGACTAATTGTTTCCATGAATTTTGGTTTTCTTCATTCTTCTTTGCTCTGGACGAGGAGAGACCCATCATTGCATCTAGATGGCAGCTTGCTAGCTTTTAAGATCCCAGTCACTACTCGCCAAAGTAGGAGATGGAACAATGTTTTGTATAGTATGTTATGCCAATTGAGCTTGATGTCCCCTGTGACTATGGTCCCAAGCCCGCAGGTTCAACTGTCTATTCCTTTTTATACTCAAAACTGATAGGGAAACAATTAACGAATAGAACACTTCACCACAATAATGTGAGAGGCTCAATTTGATGCAGACATACTGTTTTACTGTTTTAGGCTGCCTAGAAAACTACCAATTTGGGGTTATTCTTCTACTTGTTTTAATCTGTGGGTAGCTTGAGAAGTTAGAAAAATCATGTCTATCCATGAGTAGTTACTGCATTATGCAGGCTTTGGAGCTGTAACGCTAAGTTTCCTTGAAATCTGTCTCCAAGTTCATAAACAAATTGTCTCCTCTCCTGCTTCCCAGTCTGCCTCCAGTGCCTTCCCACATTTGATACAAGCTGCTTACTCTGTTTTCACGTAGTTCAGCTCTTCATTTTCCCAGTGGACCAACGCGATCTCATAGGGCTGAATTTCGTGTTTTTCCAAAACTTGCATCACATGCTTCATCTGGAAGAAAAGGAAATTTTATCTGCAATGGTAACTGACACCCTCTGTAAAGCCTGTCAGTGTTAATAATGCTATGTTTCCATCACTTTTAATGACATTTCTTCTGTGCTTAGTTTTTAAGAAAGAAAAAGCAAGTTTGTTGTGATCCTAATTAGAATGACATATTCATTTGTTTCTACATGTGGAAAAGAGATGATCATAAAGATAATATGATCAGTATCTCAAAATCTAAAGAAAATCACTAATAGTGGTTTGATTTATAAAATCACTAGTAGTGTTTTAATTTATATTATAAATAATCTATTATTTATATACTTTTTGCTTTTAGAAGCAGCATACTTGTACAAATTTTAACAACATCAAACCCCCTGCCACTGAGCTGATTATGAGTCATAATGACCCTATAGACAGAGTAGACCTGCCCCACAGGGTTTGCAAGGCTGAGATCTTTAAGGAAGCAGACTGCCCCACCTTTCTCATGCAGAGCAGCTGGTGGGTTTGAACCTCCAACCTTTCAGTTAGCAGCTGAGCACTTAAGCACTGCACCACAAGGGCTCCTTTTAAACAACCCAGAGGTGTAGAAAGGGAAGCTCTCTGCTTCCCCAAAGTCCTAACCCCCAGAGAGGGCCAGCATTAAACTTGGTGCACCCCTTTCCAGAGTTTTCTTTCTGCAGGGCCCATTTATTTAGCTTTTTATATAATGTGGGCTCACTCTGTGTAGATGAACATTTTTTAATGGTATTCTCTCTAATGAAGGAACCAGCACTGACTGAACCATCCTCCACGTCAGTCAGCAGGGGACCACTTCTACTGTTCACAATGACGTTACAGCAAACCCTTCTTATGCACACACCTCTGGCCTTACGGTAATACCACTGTAGGACCTACTAGATTCAAGGCATGCGTATGTACACATTTGATCAATATTGCTACACTGCTCCCCAAAAGAGTTTCCCAATCTTAGAATCTAAACATCATCTGTGAGAGCACTCTGAAAAAACTGGGTACTGTCAGGTTTTAAGAGCTTTGCTACTTCAAACAGCCAATCTCTATTTATTTTATGAGTAAAGTTGAATAAAATTTTCTCCCATTTATTGGTCATTTATATTTCCTTTTCTCCAGGATTTCCCCCCATATGTGTATGTATCACCTTGTAGGAAAACTGGGATTATATGAGGCACATTTTCAAATCAGTGCTGGTACTGTACTGGTTTTGTAATCTGTCCTTAACTGTATCACCTACATCGGCAATTTCCCAGGAATAACTAGTTGGTTTTTTGCACATAACTTTAAAGAGCTGCAGGATACTCAGTTGCATGATATAATTAACAAGTATTTATTATTGCATATTATGCTTATTTCTAGTGGTGCAGTGAATTGCTTAATATGCCCTTCTAGCCATAGTCCTTCATTTTGGGATTGCTATAATCCTAGCCTCTGTGCCTGTGTTTACAGTTCCATTTTAGGATGAGTTGTCTGCAGTGTCGATGAGGCAGGATTTGGGTGCATGTATCTTGAATCCCGCCTTGCTGGAAGGTGTGACTCAAGTCACCACCCTCAGTGTCCTTAAGGGCACGTATATGAAAATTCTGGTAAAGTTCACTGTCTTGCCCTGGATCCCGCATCTGGCTCGCCATCATCTCACCCCTGGATCTTGGGACTCGAGCCAGCAGCCTATCGTCTGCCCTGATTCACCAACTTCCACAGTCTTGTGGGACAGCAGCCTGTCTTGTGACCTGCCGATTCGTGTTTGTCAGCCCCTGTAACCATGTGAGTGAGGAGGATCCACCAGGATGACGCCTGACCCACAGATCTGGGACTTCTCAGCCTCCACCACTGCACAGCCATTTCCTGAGCAGTCTCTGAGTTCTGCGAGACGTTACAGTGAACTAGGGATCCTGAAGCTGAGAGGGAGAACATTGAGGGGAGGAGGAGCTGATGTCAGAAAAGATGGAGTGCTACAACAATCTGGAAAAGTTGGACGCCTGGGACATCTTCAACCTCGGCCTCATAGGCACCAAGCCTTGTGCTGATCCTTCTCAAATAAATCATTCAAGCACTAGTTTTGTTATTATAAATAGTGTTTTGCTGAATACTTCTGCACATAATTCACCATGTATAACTATGATTCTTTCCTCCGGATAACTTTTAAGGTGTAAAATTGCTGGGTTAAATGTAAAACTTTTGATGCAAATTACCAAACTGCCTCTTAAAACCAAAAACAATCCAAACCCACTGTCACAGAGTTGTAACCGACTCACAGCGACCCCTCCTTGGATTTCTGAGGCGGTATCACTACGGAAGTAGATTGCTCAACCCTCCTTCTGAGGAATGGCTGGTGGGTGTGAACCGCCAGCCTTCTGGTTAGTAATCAAATGCCTTAGGCACTACACCACCAGAGTTCCTGCCTCTTAAAAGTCTGTATCACATAAATCTTGATTTGGATATTGTAGACATTATTTCCCATGGGTCAGAAAGTTCTAGAAAACTTAGTCTAGAATAAAACTCAGTGCGACCGGCTCCCAATGAACTGTGTGTCCACTATTTTTTGTAGATTACCAGATGCAAATACACCTCCTCATTTGCAGTGTGGCTAGTGTGCTTTGGAGCCATTGTGACTTGCTACAAATAGTACTTGCCCAGAGAATAGAACATGTAGGAAACTAAAAATAAGCCACAAGACAATTTGATTTTTGAAAACAAAACTGTTAGAATAAATACGCAATGCAAAACAACTAAGAAGTTGTGGATTATCGTTCTCTCTTCCAAAAGCTGTTACTGAGAGCTAATATTTCGCTTTTATTGTCAGAAAATGGAATTTTTACACTTTATTTATACTTACAGTTTTGTCTTTCACATTCCAAAACACAGCCGCTCCTTCCCTGATTTAAAAGAAGGAAAGAATCGGCTAAGTTAGAGGCGGAACACAGGCTTCAGTGTCACACGGGAAGCTGCCATGCTTAGGGGACTTGTCGGGTGTATCCAGGAAGCAATGTTAAAAATAGGATTTATGGATTGATTTGACATCACGGTCCCTAGATGGATTTGCTAAAACAAGAACCACTTTTTTGACTGTTGACAAATGCTGACTTCTCAAAGATTCGGTGTCTCACGTGGTTTGAAGAAGAAATAACTATTATTATGACACAGGCATACCTCAGATCACTGCAGAAAGCAGTGATCAACATCAAGTGAGTCACACAAATATTTAGGTTCTCAGTGTATACAAAAGTTATGTTGACACTCTATTGCAGTCTATTAGGTGTGCAACATTATGAAAATTGTGAAATATTGTGAGAACTACCAAAATGTGACACAGAGACATGAAGGGAGCACATGCTGTTGGAAAAATGGCACCGACAGACTTGCTCAACACAGGGCTGCCACAAACCTTTCATGTCTAAAAGACACAGCATCTGTGACATAGATGAGTATCTGCAGATGTGCAATGAAACAAGGTATGCTTGGGCTATGTAACTTCATGTATCCAGACTGCTTCATACCTGTTAATATGCTGTACAAAAATCAGATTTAGGAAAATCTGTGAGACCTGTCAAGCTCTCCTTAGGGCAGTGTGCGCTATGGGAAAAGAATAAAGGAGCATGCTTGAACGGCTGTGGCTTGAACAGTTGTAGAAGAAGAGACTGAGCTGATGGACTCAGAACACAGCTATGGAAGATGCATCCTTAAAGTGTTTCAAACAGAACTATGGTGAAGCCACGGGAGTGCCTGCAAATCCAATGCCGGTGCTGACAGAATTTAAGATCTACTTGTTTGATTTGATTTCTGCAGTGTCAGAGTTGAGGTGTTTTAGGTAGTACAGAAAATGAGACGTCAAGGGTATGAGCTATTGTACTGAAGGAAGACAAGGTGAAAGAGGAACATGTAAAAATATGTTGGCCCCACATTGTTCTTTAAACAGTTCTTGACCAACATGCTTAAGTACACGTATGGGTTTGTGCTTAGCACCTGAGATACAAAGATGAGTACAGTCTGTCTACCTTCAAGGAACTCCCGATCTAGAAAAGTGACACTCAAACTACCAGCTGCATTAGGGCAGGCGCTGTAACGGTTATGCACGGAGTACAATGGCATGCCCAGCAGAAGGAGCCCGACAAGTGAACAGGGGAGGTGCATGGCAGGGGAACATCACGGGCTCTGAGAGGAGACGGAGCAGGGCACCATCACAGAATAGCTAGCAGCTCACAGGCTGTGGACATGGGAACTCGTGGGCAATGAGTTAAAGAGGCAGGCAGCAGCCAAACCCTGAAGGGACTTTATGCCATGAGAAGAAAACAGTCTGGTCAAAACCCATGCAGCCTTCAGTAGGAGACTGTAGTGGCCAGAACCGCCTGTTAAAAATTACCCTGCCTACAACAGACAGAGTGCGGGTGGGGCAAGAGAGAGGCAGGCAGGGAGACCAGTTAGCAAGCTGGGGCAATAGGCCAGGGTGAAACACTTAAAATCCATAGCCAGAGTGAGAGCCTGGAAAACCACTTCCAAGGAGAATAGAGGTCTGGTGACTGACTGTGCCCCTTGCCCCTTCCTCTAGAGCTGGGCTGTGCAACGTGGTACCTGGACCCCCTACATGAACTTGAGTACTTGCAGTGTACCTAGTCCAAATGGAGATCCTCTCTGTAAGTGTAAAATGCACCCCAGATTCCAAAGCCTTAGTTCGAAAAGCATACTGTAAAATATTTCACCAATTATTTTCATATTGACTACATACTCAAATGAGATTGTAGATGTTGGGTTAAAAAACATACATTACTAAAATTAATCTCAGGCAACCTGTGATATTATTCATGCAGTTGGAATCAATTTCATCCATGTGTTAACGTGGCTACCAGCAGATCCCCAAGGACACAGGAGGTTTGCACTGTGTTTCTGCAGGACTGTGCTGCTCTGGAGGTCCACAGGAATCCGCGTGCCTCACGTACGTCATCAGGGACACTCTGAGTCTAGCTGGAATGAATGTGGGAATCTTGATGACATGCAAAGCTGGGGTCAAATGGAAGGTGAGGCACGAATAGGAACAAAGACAGAAGGACTAGGGCCACAAAAACATCACCCAAGTCTAGCTTCTGATGGGCATTCCACGTGCTTCTACCACACGACCGTGGGTAACGCGCTTATCCTTCTCACCCTCAGTTTCCTCAGCTGCAATGTGCTAATGAAAGGTCTTAGTCAAGTGCCTCGAGGACATTACATTATTTTAAGTAGCTTCTCTCATCATTATCACTGCCCACCAGCTACTCTGGAATCTGGTATTAGAACTCTTTCAAGAAAAAGTCCCTCCGAAGTTTAATTTAAAAATTAGAGATATTTTTTCACAATTCGGTATCATCATCTTTGTATAATAAATATTCTAAGGGCTTTCAAATGAAACATGTAACATTTGCCACTAAACTGTAGGTAAATGAGCAGTCATGATCAAAAATCAACAATAGGAAGATCAACAGGAAAAGAGTAAACAACATGGATACTGAACAACACCCTCCTGGAGAAAGACTGGGTAAGAGAAGAAATCAAAATTGAAATTCAAAAATTCCTTGAATCAAGCGAGAATGAAAACACAACATACCAAATCTTTGGGACACAGCAAAAGTAGTGATCAGAGGCTAATTTATAGCAATAAATGCACACAACAAAGGAAGACAAAGAAGGGGGAAGATTATTTCTTTTACAATTTCTTTATTTTTACAAATAAAGAAATAAAGGAGATTTACCAGAGGGTTCCTAAAATTGGCCAACTCTCCTAAATCAAGTAAGAAACACATGACAAAAATTCAAATATGTTTTGAGGATGTTTACTGTTAAACGAGATACACCCACACCTTCAAAGACCACTGTTACATGCACACTCCTCCCAAGGGTCTCCCTTATCTTACCTGAAGAAAAATATTGTTCCAGGATCCCCTTCTTTTGCAGAGCTTTCTACGCCCATCACCAGGATATTTGCTGCATCTATGATTTAAAACAAACGAAAGAAAAGCTACGCCACAGATGCCACGAGGTGTAAGGGTCACCCGTTAGCATGTAACTGAGCACTGGGGGCCTTCTCATTTCTCCACAGACTGTTAGCACCACACACAACAATGCCTGTCTTTTTACTAAGTTTCTGGAAACTACTTTAAACACGGAAGCGAAAAGACCAGAAGAAATTACCCTCACAAAACATTCACACAACCTGTGTTGTTATTATCAGTGCCACTTAAAACCACACGTTCACACCTATTTTGACTCAGTAATCACTAGTCTAGTTAACAATTATTAAAATCTTAGTTTCAATACAACTAAGGTTTAAGAATTAAACTTTC